CCTTGCTATAGGGATAAATTTAATCAAGCCCATACTTGATTCTCATACATGGATTACATCACATGTTCATGACTCTAAGTCATTTATAAGATTCGAGATCTGTCATAGCATCTTGGTATTTGATGGATTTTCCAGAAACCATCAATAAAAGTTCATCAATGAGAGATTCCACATATTTCAAGTCATAGATTATTTCTACCATTAATGCGAACAATTTGTGTTTGTGAATAGCTGTTTTTCAATTTTAACAATCCTTGTTAAAACTAATTCCAACTATTACTACATAAGGTTATGGTTCTTGAGCTTCTTCAAGTTCTATGTACCTCCCACTTACTTTGTCATTAGAAGTTTGCTTTTACTAACTTAGCGTTCACAAGAATAAGAGGACTTATTCTTGGCGGGTTTGCATATAATAATCTAAGCCACATTTAGAGTATTATAAAAATATGTATTTAGTAGATTTTGGGTTAGAAGCTTTATTCCAACATCGGCTTCAAATCCACAAAACATTAAGTAAAATGAGGATGGAGCCATTCCATACTAAATCTTAGAATGTGTTTAATCTACTTATTAGTTGGTATTTGTATTCAAGATACAATTAATAGTGATTGATGTATTATCCCAAAAAGATTAAAGGAGGGTATTTCTACCGATTAGAAAGTAAATCATACTAAGTAAGATTTAATTCATCATTTATTATCATTAAGGCCTTATATGGTTCTTACCGATTTGTATCTCAACTTTTGAAACCTTCAAAAAAGATTTCATAATTATGCTTTACCACGTAAAATATAATTAAAACTACTATAGTTGTTAATAAACTTGATTTGGTATCTTGTGCTTAATCTCTTACATTCATTAGAAAGGAAGTCATACACCAAAGTGTATAGTTCCTTAATTATTCTTCTCTACACTTTAGTGAAAATATCATTAGGAATCCTTTACATATAATTAAGGGTCACATATGTCAAATAAACTACGTTATTTTCCTTGAAAGATCCCTTTTCTGAAGTTGGAATATGTGAATGCCATTTATATAAAAAAGATAACAATGTCAAAGATGAGTTGGATGTAAAACAAGTTTAAGTCAAAAGTGTTTGTGTATAGAACTTGCTTTTATAAAATTTTGATATTTACTTTATAATTCTATTAAGTGATCTAGTCTCATAAATAGAAGTTAATCATTTCAGAATATGAATATTATCGTTATGAAAAGCGATTGAGTAAATGATCAAACATTTGAATAAAACAACTGAGACATAAATTTAGACATGCTAAATTAAAACATACATTGTTCCAAAACAAATATTGTTTTAGATTACAAGTAATTTATGTTCTAATCATAAATAATAAACTAAACTCCGAGAGTGTAGTTCCAACTTGATTGTGCTCAGCTGGTACTCTTCAGTAAATATCTGCAAGCCATTTACAAATATTTGGTTAACATTTAAGTACCAAGTACCTAAGTGTTATATGAAAAGTAAGAGTTCTATCTAGTAGATACAAGAAGTACTAGTCTCTTCCAGACTTTCTTTCCAAATAAGAGGAGTAAAATCCTCTTCTAGTGTCCAGTTTCTTCACAAAAGAAACAAGATCCATCTATATGGGATTTAGTAGATTTCTTGGGATTAAAGGTGTTCGGTCCATAAAGTATGGGCCTCTTAGATCACACTAGGTGACTCTTTTAGCCTTGCATTATTCTAATGTTTAAACTATCTTTAAATAAAATATCACTGTATTTATTGGAATATTGCTTGACCTGTTATATTATCATATATATGTTTAAATTATCCAAGACTTCCTAGAAGTCATGAATAACTATTCCTAGCTTGATGTTAGAAGCATCTTTAGCATCACAGTGATGCCTTTACTAGATATCATGTTCAGGTTTATTTCTCAAAGCAAATAGTTTAGGACTAGGACCGTTAAGTGTATAAAATTTCATATCTCTTACGAGATTGTCTCTTAAGACATGTACCCATTCATTGAAGTTGTATCCATTCAATGCTATTGTTTCATTAAGTCATTAAAGAAAATTACAATTCATGATAATGAGAACGAATTCTTTAACTACAAAATTTTAACAAAAATCATTTAGTATTTTTAATATTTAATCTTTAATAATTAATACCCTTTAAGTTTTCAAAAACATTAATTATCAAAGTCTAAGATCCAAGTTGCAAAACAAATAAATGGTTAGGTATCATTTATCCCATCCATTTGAATTCAACCCGGTAGATATCAATTATCAATTATATCTTACTATATAATTCCTAGATTTTTGGAATCGCTAATAACAAATTTAATTAGACATGTTTGATCTCATCTATGCCTCGAAACTATCTTGCTTAGGTATCCTTTATCACAAAAGATTTCCGATCAAATCATCCAATTTGAAAAACTTGTGTAATCGGCCTATAACTTGGTTATAGAAATCGTGAAGATACCCCGACCATCAAAAGATAACACTAAGCGGCTAGGTATCCTTTATCCCGCTAGTGCATACAAGAGATGTGCGAGTGTTCTTCAAAAAGATTGCATAGATTTGAGGTTTGTAAAAGAAAGGGTCTTTATATGTTTTATAATTCTAGTTTAAAAACATACGATATCATGTTTATTACATGCATATAATAAACCATGGTATCATTTTTCAAAAGAAAACTCACTTTTAAAGGTTCTATATAAAAAGCTAGTTTTTATATAATTTGACGCAATTCAATTTTAATAACCGGTATTAAGTTTGAGTGTATTTGAACCTTTTATATCTTTAATAAAACTTCATTTTATTACTAATATATGTGGAGTTTGCATAAGTTACAAAAATCACCATTTTAAACTTATAATAGAGTATTTCAAAATTTGCCGTTATTAACGATTTTATAAAATCGGGTTTTATTTTTTTAAAATAATAACTTGTTACATCTTATGTCCAATTTTGAAAACCCAAACTCCATGTGATGTTTATTTTGTCCAAAATTATTTAAGCATGTGAAAAACTAATTTATCAACCACACATAATAATTACATAAAATAAACAACACCAACATGCATTAAAAGATATGTGCATAAACATAGCCAACTAATGACATTTTTTGTGAGTCAACACAAAAGATGTCAAGTCCATTCCTCAAGGGACATTTAAGGGGACCAAAAAACTTCTTGTAATATTGTTGAAGAAGCTCCCACTTGAGTAAACACCAATTGCTTGCCAAGGATTGGAAAAACTTCTTGAAGGCTAAAATTTTGCAACTGTCGCTAAAAGTCCAACAACCCTTTGTAAACAACATTAGTGACACTTTTCATAAAATGTCACTGAAAATCCTACACACCTTTTAGACTCGAAAATTGCTCTTTTGTCTTCAAAAAATGGTTCCAACTTCATCTCTTGTTAAATTTTTGTACAAATAAATTAATTCTAAAAACTAATCTATTACTTACAAAAATAAATCAAGAAAACGAATCTATTTAATTTATTATATACCATATGAATAAAGAAATTATTACAACCATTTTTATAAAACAACCAACACAACAACACAACAAACACAATGGTCATTGGCTAGTTTATGCACATCATATACATCAACATACACATAAAACAACCTTTGTTTTTCTAAGACAACTTTAAATAACAAAAGATGCATGAAACTTTTGTCACATAAAATAACAAATATAAAGTTATCATAGAAAATATGTATGAACTAATTCTTTTTACACAAAACAAGTTATTCATATTCTCCAGAAACTAAGATTTCCAAAAATCAACAAATCTAACCAAACTTGCAAGGTGGCTTTGATACCAATTGTTGGGTTTTAGTTCAAAAATAGTTTTATAAACTAGAAAAATATGGCAACGGAAGACTTAAAATTTTGAAATAACATAAACATTTTATACCCACCAAGGATCTTCTTGCAAGTTATAGAAAGATTTAAACGCCAACCAAAGAAAGGATGAAGAAATAACAACCTTTGTTTTTCTTCGGGTCCTCTTGGGAGGCTTGGAAGTTGATGAAGAATGTGGAGCCTTTGAGACACCAACAATGACTCCACTTGATGTAGATGCTACTCCATAAACTATTAAACCCTTAAGCTTTAAGTTCATAACCAATATAAATTTAAAGAGGGCATGAAAAATGCAAGTATTCTCTTCATGCAAAAGCAAGACTAGAGAGAGGGTCATAGTTTCGGCCATTCTTCAAAAGAATGACTAGCCAAAAATGCAAGCCTCAAACCTTGTATTTATAGTAGTAACAATACCCTACCTTTTGAATAAACTATTCAATAGACCATACTCTTATTTAAATAATCAAAGAGTCATTATCTCATTTAAATAATCAAAAAGCCATACTCTTATTTAAATATTCAAAGAGTCATTCTCTTATTTAAATAATCAAAAAACCATACTCTTTCTTTTTTACTCTTATTTTTTTATAAATAAAAAAGGAAGAAGGCAAAAGCTTTATATTTTATAAAACAAGTTTATAAAATTTAAACTTTAACTTTTTGGTAAAAGACAAAATAATTTGTCTAGTCTAAAATGGTGTTCATGAATTATTAATTCATACCATATGAATTATACATAATGTTACTTGCTAATGAAAATCATAATTTCTTCGAAATAAATAATTTCCAATTTAATTATAAGAGTTTATGAATATTTATTAATATCAATTTCTAATAAATAATCAGTTATATCAAGTTGTTGTTAGTATGATCCATTAGTATCATATGTTAATTACACTACAAGAAAAAGACCATTTTACGAAGCGCAAACCATGACACTCATTGATTTATGTTACGCAAAAGAGAGTGACATTAAAAAAGTATCACCTCTTCAAAAAAATTAAGGATTTAGGTCATGAATTATTGCGTGCCCTTAAATTAGTGTCTCTTGTAAAAAAATTAAAAACACGGAGGGCGCTTTATCTAAAATGTGCGTCCTCTGTGAATGTCGTTTTATATTTTTTTTTAAGAAACGCGCGTCTCCTTAGAGGGAAAATGAAATCCCCAAATTTTTTAAACCCCGCCTTCTTCTCCTACATTTATTTCCATATCTCATATCTCCCCTCCCTCGTCTCTACCTCTCACCCACATCCACTGCCTCCGATCACCGTTGCCTCTTCTAGCCTCAGACTACGGCGATGCACCTTCCTTCTCGAAGAACGCTTCATTTACCACCATCGTCCAATTATATGAGCCCAAGAAATTGACGGAGACGAAGAAGATTATGGATCAATCGCTTCACATCATGTTTAAGATTAAGGGTTTTAGATTTCGTCTGATGTTTGTAATCTCTCTCAATCGACTTCTTATCCTACATTCTCTTCCCCCAAACCCTAACTTCTTCTCCCTTGATGGATTATAACTTCAATACGCGCTAATATCATAGTTACAGGGATCGCTATATCAGCCACGATCCACGTTTTGAACGTTTCGTTCCTAATTGTTGTATATTATCGTTCCGATTGTTGGCAGAAACGTACTTCGGTACGGAAACTCCACGATCCCACTTAGTGGCAAAATCGATTGCTAGAACGTGTTTTTAGCGATCGGAATTGGTCCAATACGTGATTAGGATCGCCAATTTGTAGTTTGGGTCGCCAATTTTGCGTTTTTGGAACGCCGATTTGGTACCCTGTTGCCACCGTTTTGTCTAATTGGTCCAATACGATAGTCTATTTATTTGGTATTCCTTCTGGATACTCGATTATTCACGCTCATAGCATGCGCATAAGCGATTTAATTAGTTAAAAACATATTATTGTTATGTGTGTGAAATTGTTCAGTGATTTAGGGTTTTCGGACCTCAAGAACTTTCCTAACCTTACTTATGCCAACCCTTAATTTATGCGAGGAAGGGATATCTATAAATCCCTGATCTTAGGTAACTAGAATTGAAGGATGGAGTACATGTACAAGTCAAAAGAATGTATCAGAAATTGGATGCCAATTTCTTTTATCATATTAATGCTCCTTTTCAGTTGTTATTGTTTACCAGGTTGTGTAAAAGGAAGAGAGCATCAATTATTATCCATCTCATATGATAATTAATGCTTCCATTTAAGGTAATAATTTTTAACAGCTTAGTTCAGATATTTGAGCTCTCTTTTCTGGCTAATTTCTCCTCTACTGCAACTCCTTTCTCCCATTTGGTGTTTACGACCATGGAAACAAACAATTCGGCCTGATATATATTTAAATGTGAAAATACCTTCAATTTGATTGGTTTTATAATGAATATTAATATGTTTTTGTTTCAATCAATATTAATCCTATCTTTTGCCAACTTTCACCTGAATTATTAATTGGCTTACATCATACTGTTAAATGGTTTATCACATGTATCTCTTAACTAATGGTTTTGAAATGGAAACCCATAAGAGTCAATTTGGGCACTCTTCTTGAACTCAGGGAGCATTCAGCATTTAGGATGTTGTTTGTTAGTTGGTTTGATTTCTTAACTTTCTTTTGGCTTTGTTTTCATCTTTATAACAAGTTTTGGTTGTTTATCTAGTTCAGAGAAGGCCTAATATCAGTTGCTGAGTACATGGAAGAAGTCCTGGTAAATCCCAAGGCTGGTTTTTATATCAATCAGGATGTTTTTGGTGCAGAAGGTGACTTCATAACATCCCCTGAAGTAAGCCAAATGTTTGGAGAGGTATATTGATGCATACCCATTCTTCAAACTTCAAACTAGTCATTTACTCATTTATCATTCAAAATTCTGTGGAAATGTACAAATATGTTATTCCTGAATCAAAGTTTACCACAAAAATATTTGATTATTAACCTATCATGTTGTTTTTGATTCAGATGGTTGGTGTTTGGGTACCGTGTTTGTGGGAGCAAATGGGGCAACCAGATAGAGTCAATATAGTTGAGCTTGGGCCAGGAAGAGGAACTCTCATGGCTGATCTTCTAAGAGTATACTACTAATTTTATGCTTTAGGTTTTATTTTCTTCTTTCCCATATATGTTGATAATTGTACATTAATAATATGGGGAATATGATATTTAACCATAGGGTGCTTCAAAGTTTGAGAAGTTCACAATATCCTTAAACATACACATGATTGAAGTTAGCCCATGATTAAAGAAGATCCAAAATCTTACTTTAATATGATTGAAGTAGTTATATATTGGCTGGGTTGATTCATGGGCCATGTGAGGTTCTTCCTCCAAGTAGTTATATATTGGCTGGGTTGATTCAATTGCTTTCTTTTATAAATTACATCATATTCATATGATTATGATTGATTGTGTGTGCAGATGGTTTTATGATGAAATAAAACGGCTATTTCGAGATGTCACATGTTGATCTGATGTAGTATTGTACTATTGTGGGGGTAAGACTTGAGATTATTAAATGAATTGGTATTGTCATTAGTTTATTACTTATTACTTATTTGAGGAGGAGGCTTGCTTAAAGTGTGTTTCTGGTAATGCAGGTGATGCTGTCTGGTTGTATTCATTAGAGGGTATGCAATTACTGACCAAATCTGTACAACAAAGTTAGAGTGGCTGGCAGTTGGCTGTAATTCTTATTGACAGGAACACATTTTAAAACCAAAAAAGTAAGAGTGGCCTCCGTCTCCCACTCCTTGTATGGCCCCAAAAGTCCGGTCACTCTGTAGTATCTTTACCGAGGGGGGGAGGGGTGGTGTGGTTAGTCCAATACATGTCATGTGATTGTTTTCAACCAACATATAGTTCTTGTTTACTAACTCATAGCATCTTCAGTCCTCAAAGAGGTTATAAAAATGTGATTGATGAAGGCATTCGTTTGGTGAGAACTTAATACATAGCACTTTAGTCCCTCAAAGAGGTTCAGCTTTGGTCCCTGAGTAGTGAGTGTAGTTGAAGTTTCATAAAGATTTTGGTCCATGTGACCTGTAAGTAACAGCATAGCTGTTAGATTTTTTTAAATGGCCGTTTTACCCTTGGACCAAAACTGAAAAAAAAACAGTATTTCACGAGGTCCAAATTTGTAAATTTCTCTTATTGGTCATAATGAAAAATTCAACAGCGAGGCTGTTAACTTAGATGACACGTGGACCAAAATCTTAAGGAAACAAAAAATGTATATTAGTGAAAATTTTATAAGAATATGTGTGAGTTTGTAGTAACTGAAGTGAAGTATATATTGATGATAGGGTGAGACATGTACACCAGAGCAAGTGGGGAAAGAAAAAGTTACTCCTCATGTGAACCAAACATGGATGCGTATGGCTTCTTAAAATCTCAATCTTCTTTTTACTTTAGAAAAGATATATTTTTGAAAACAGGGTAATGACAATATTACCCTTACATTTAAAGAAAACAAATGTTGAAGAACACTGGGGGATTTTAGTTATAGTTGTGGCCATTTTATTCACAGTCCATGTATTACTGAATATGGTTTTTAAATTAGATTATTATTCTAAAATCTTGTATATAATTAAATATCTCAGGTTTTAGTACTTCTCCTGGTTTGATGGAAATGTTGAAGGTATATAATTAAATATCTTAGGTTTTAATCACTATTGGAATGATTATTTGTATTTAACATATGATGCTTTGACCTAACTCTAACTAATATATTGTTTTGGTAAGCTCTAGATTCCAAAAATGAAAGCTTATGTCAGTGAGACTGAAGACCTTAAACAAGACCTTAATTATCAAGAAACGTAAGATGATATGAAAATCAATGTATGTGTTATAATTCATATGGATAAAGATTTTACTTTTCATGTCATTATTATTTATTACTTTTTTGTTTGCAGTTTCTTGCAGAAACTTTGGATGTTGTTCTACAAATGTCTTGGTATACTTCTTCAGAAAGTTGATAACATGACTTATGTTTTTCTACACAAGTAACAAAGATCCATATTTCCAAAATAGTTTGTGTTTTATGTTTGTTGTTATTTGGATTAGGAAGATTTGTTTTTCTAGTTTGACTAATGTTAATAAAATAGCAATTAAATGTGATTTATTTTTGAATATTAGTACAATTATTTCATGAAATGGATTGTGTTGTTATATAAGTATTTTATTTTGCATTATGAGACTTTTAAATTTGTTATTTAATTTGAAATTTAGTAAATCTATCAAATATATATATTTTTTAAAAACCTTTAAAATTATGACACGCAAAATGTGTGTCATATTTCTTTATGACACTGGCTTTAATGATATGCAATGCGAGTCGTAAAATCGCGTCGTAAGGTTACAACACGACACGCAAATGCGTGTCGTGTTCTTTATGACACGACCTTCCTTGACACGCATTGCGTGTCGTAGGCGCGCGTCGTAAATGCGCGTCGTAAATAGACGACGCGCAAAAGCATGTCGTCTTCCTTTATGACAGGGCCTTCCTTGACACGCATTTGCGCGTCGTCTGAGCGTTTTACGACACGCATTGCGCGTCGTAAAAGGCTGTTTTTCTAGTAGTGTTAGCAATATCACTTTAATATGAATCTTGAGCATAGTAGACCTTTCATAAATAGTATAATTTTTGTTAGAATTTATATACATTTAATGAATGACAATAATAATAGGTGAAAGAAAATGATGGTGTTCTAACATTTCGAATTGAAGAACGAGATTGTAAGATTCTTTGTTGATATGAAAATGATTTATAAGTGCTTTTATTTCGTTACCAACATTTTTTGAACTATCTGGATGTAGTAACTGTCGAGAAGGATTGCACAATTCTGTTATACAATATAAACATTTGTTAAAAAAATATATGATTATTTATAAGAAACCATGGTAGGAAAAGAAAAAAAATATATTTAAATGGAATGCAAAACGATTACAATCGGTGTGCATGCTAAAAACATGAGAATTATATGGGTTTTGAATGGTTGATGCGGTGGATATTCTTTTGGATTTTCTATTATCCAAATATAACTTTCTAATCTTTCTTCTCTCTCTAGCATAATTATAATACATGTCCATCCGTTCTATAAAACAAAAGTAACGAACACGATAAAAATATTACAATAAGATGTATTCAAAATATAATGAAAAATTGAAAATGTATCAAGAAACTTAAAAAAATTTATAAATCGTTTTAAGAGATTGATATAGTATTGTTCGTATATGAATCTCGAAAATAGTAATAGTTGGATAAAAAAGAAATTGATACTATCACCATTCTCTTTCATGTTAAAAACATGTACGGTTGACGAATTCTGAGGTACTGATGTAGAAGAATTATTTTTGAATTTTTTTTAACCAAATATATTTTTCTAATTTTTTTTCTTCTCTTTAGCATGACTATAGTCCATACTGTTCTTTGAATCTATTTAAATTTTAAAAAAGATGATATATATTTTTAAAGATGTTATAAGAATATATCGAGAGTTAAAATAATCACATTCAAATAAAAATTACATTGGATTATAAATTTGAAAATTGTTATTTTTTTTATGTAATGTCATTTCTTAATTAATAGCATTTAAAAATGTATTGCTTAAGTGATATCTAATGTAAATAATAAGGTATTTCTTAAAAATCCTATCTTATATATGAATATAAAAACCTAAACATGTGAGAGATCTTATATAAATTACTCATTCTTGAAAAACCACTTTGGTAAAAAAGTTTAATAGTTACTGTTCATGAGTCAAGACAATGGAAACAATTGTTACATATATTAAATAATACATACAAATTCAATTTATTATTCTCGATATTGAAATCACCCAAATAACACTTCTCAACTTGACATATTTGAATGTATTATTTTAATATAGTTATAAAAAAATAACAGAAAACATATATGTCAAATTACATATACTTATATATTTATTGCAAATTACAAATTTTACCCTAAACTACACTAACCTAAAGTTTTATCTTCCATCAAGAAAAAAGGTAGTCGTTATCCAAATATGCGATTCTTATTTCACATTTCTACAATCCTAAAAAGTTGAAGAATCGGTTTGATTTACAAACTCGAAAGACACATGTTGCGATTTCTACGATCCAAATATGTGATTCTTATTTCACATTTCTACATTTTTACTTCTGATTTCATCGGCATCATACCAAAATCGAAAGGGAGAAGTTGTGATTTCCTGATATTGGTATCACGATTTCGGATTTTAGGTTCAAACCAAACGATTCCGTACATTGTTTTCAACATGGGTGCTGAGTTCGATTTTGAATAAGGAACGAATAGAGGTAGAATTTGTCTTAGAGATTAGAGAAGAAAGATACCTAGATGGAGGTCGAAATCCGGATAAAAGCTTTTGAAGAAATAATGGCGTGCTTCTCTTCGGATGTTGAAAGACGTTTGTAGAAGATCAATAGAGGTAAATTCAAAATTTTTCATTTTTTGTAGAAGATGCACAGATTATTGGTTGAATAGATTGTAGATTAAGTATTTTATTAAATTGTTTATGTGATTGTAGTTGAGAACAGAATTTTGAATTTTTAGTGTGTATGTGCGAAAAGATCAAATTACAGCATCTGAAATTTTCGTTTTATATTTAGATTCTCGCTTGGTGTTTTATCATGTATTTTGAAATCAACGAAAATGATGATTTTTTAAAAATACCACAGTGTAAATATGACGGGGGTGTAATTATAATACTTTAAATTAGTAGATTACGGCATTAAACAATTATTCTTTTATGTTTATGTTTATGTTTATGTTTATGTTTATGAAGCATCAATGTTGTTGTTGCCAGACAGTTTAAGTAGAATGGAAGCTGATGTTGATGAAACTGATAAGAACAGAAAATATGGTGATGAGGTCAGTCAATCTCATATGTTTAACCTTGACAACTCCTATGTTCAATCAAATCAAAAAAAGTTTTGAATATTGTTGATGAGGGAAATCCTAATAGAAAATCAATCACATACTAGATGCCAACAGAGCAGTTTGAAACTTGATTATTGCCTAGCTATTCAAGGAATCCTTCATAACCGAGGTTTTTTTATTTTTTCCTATGTTATGTCTCTTGTATACTTATCAACTCTACTAATGTTTGTGTTAGTTATGACGAATTTCCATGGTTCATTTCAATTTTAGTTTGGCTTTATCATAGTTTTCAAGGGAACAAAGTTTCTGCACTTTTTTTCTACACATAAGATCTTATAAGTATGATTTTGCCGAAGTCTTTATTTTAAATATAATTTGGATTTCTGATACATAGATCTGATTTGAGCCAAAACACATCAAAGTTATACCTTTGTTTATTAATAAGTATATTGTACCAAAAAAATGAAATACAGTGATATACTTGATAATTTTAAAAAGGCATGAAATTTCATACTAAACATTTAAGCACAAATATACATTCATATCAAAACAAAGTTAAAAACAATAAAAATATTCAATAAAGGTAAAAACCAAACCAAACATAATTGTCTTAAAATCCATCAATGCAAAATAGTAGTGAATTGTACTTTTCAAAGTACAATATGTAACATCCCGATTTCCAGGTATGAGATTTATGGCTTAAAAGGTAATTTTATTTTTGAACTCGTCGAGTTGAAGGCCTCAACTCGACGTGTTGGAAGCTTCCTACCTTGATGAGTTGTTAAGAAAAACTCGACGAGTTGGTGGCTGATTATGAAACCCTAATTTTTAAGATGTTGCACCCTATTTAAAGGCCTTATGGCCTTTGCATGGCCTCCTTATCCGCCCCCTCTATCCAGGAAACCTTAGTTTGTGCATTTTCTCTCATTTTTGTGTGTGAGAGAGCTTGAGGAGTGTTTCTTGGTGTTCTTTTGGAAGGAGTTTGAAGTTTGAAGAAGCTTGACTGAGAGGAGGGCTGTAGATCCGGGATCTTCTCTATTGTTGCAACCATTTTGAGGTATAAAGTAGAAAACTTGACCATTTATTGCTTAGATCTCCTCCTTGGAAGCTTATTGTCATTTTGGGCCCTTTTTGGGGTCATTCTTGGGTTTGATCATTTCTGGAAGTTGCCACTTTAGATCTGGGCATTTTGTGGCCTCTTTGGGCTTAAACTCTCAAGCTTTACATAGATCTAGGCTTCCTTCATGTTCTAAGTCCTTTGTTAAGTCATGTTTGAGTAGTTTAGCCTCTTGTTGTCATGCATGGACGTAAAGTTAGCAACTTTACGTGGTTTTCTAGCTATTGGGTACCAGATCTACATTCTTAGGCATTAGAAAGGATGAAAAAGGGTTGAACGAGTTAAGCTGGTAAAACTCGACGAGTTGTCCTGACAACTCGAGGAGTTGGATTAGGGTTTTCCCGCTTTCTGGAAAACTGTAGGAACTCGACGAGTCGTCCGGAGGACTCGGCGAGTTGGCTCGGACTTTTCCTGTTTCTCTGAGTACTGAGGAAACTCGACGAGTTGGCATGTGCACTCGACGAGTTGGGTCAACATGGACTGTTGACCTTGACTGTTGACTTGACTTTAGCCATGGTTGACCAAGTTTGACTATAAGGGCATTTTTAGGTATTTGTTGGTTTTGATAGAATGGTTATATGGTGGTTTGAGGCTGTTGATTCTGCACTGTACTTATGGGTCGAAGGTACCAATGTCGGCCATGTTAGATTGTTATCCTGGTTTCTTGTATGCTTGTTGCGATAGTAATCTGTTAGATCGATATCCTGGTAGACAGGATGATGTTATTATTATTGATCTGTATGATCTGTGCTTGCCTGTTAATTGATTATGTGTTTATAAGTTTTGTTTATGTCGACATGTGTTTTGTGTGGTCAGGTTGAGGCAGTCCTGCTTTGTGCTGAAGGCCAACAGACCCGGGGCAGTCCGGATAGACTAAAGGCCCTGCTAGGCGGTCTAGTCAGGACGAAGGCCGGGCGAGCGGTCCGGATAGGCTGTAGGCCCTGTGAGGCGGTCCAGTCATGTCGAAGGCTCAGGAGCGGTCTAGATAGGCTGTAGGCCCTGCGAGGAGGACCAGTCAGGCTGAAGGCTCATTTATTCATGTTGC